CTCGTCAGATCCGGAAAAGAACTTTGGCTGGCCCGCTCGCAGGGGCTATTCTCAGCAGATCAACAAATGGATTTTGATTAGCCTGCTCACACAGGCTATTCTCGTCAGATCTGGAAAAGAACTTTGGCTGGCCCGCTCACAGCGGCCATTCTCATCAGATCAGCAAATGAACTTTGATTAGCCTGCTCACACAGGAACTTTGGCTGGCCCGCTCGCAGGGGCTATTCTCAGCAACAATCTCTTCTTTTTCCCTATACTGTGCACGCCTCTCTCCGTGCTAGACTTGCTCGCAAAACTCTCTGTCTGCCTACCGGTGCGTTCTCTCCTTCTGACTTCCCACTCTCTTTCTGCCAGAGCATTCTATATCTGGCCGTGCACTCTCTTCATCCCTTATCGCCCCTATGTCAACAACATGTCCCCGTTCACCCCTCGCACGGGCAGAGTAACCGCCGGAGCGCCGATTCTGCCTGTGCTTGCTCTCTCTGCCTGTTCGTCTCCAGTCGACTTCCGGAATGCTGGGTACGCCTGACACGCATCCTCCAAAAAAAATAAAAACCCTGGTACCCGTTTATTTCCCTTATATCCACTGTCTGTGGCCAACTGCCCTGCTTCGACTCGGTCCGCGTCGCAGTCCCTACAGCCCCAATGCTCTAGGCCCAGAAAATTTCTTGCCCTCGTCAATCCAGGCCCGGTCATCGCGCCCTGGTCCATTGCGGTATCTGTTCCAACGGCAAGCCAGTGACCAATTTCTAAACCCAGCAGGTCCGGGCCATGGCCTGCCGTCCCAGGACTGTGTACGTAGCCAACTGGTGCCCATTCCAAGGTCGAAGTAGCGAATCGCAGCCAGAATCTGCGCAACGTCACAGGCAACGTGCCTGCACCTTTTTCTGTCTCCGAACCCCAAAAGAACAGCGCAGGCTGTAGTACTTTGTTTCAGTGTTGTGCTACTATCAATGCAGCGAACTGTGAATTGCAGCAGCCCTGAAACAAATCAGAGCGCCGGACCATCAAATACCAAGGTCAAATCGTCCTATACTGTTCCAGTTTGTGTCGATGCCGAGCCAATAGTTGTGCCAATCTGCATTAGCGCCCATGCCAATGCCGTTGCGATAATAGTCCCATACCAGTGCCGTTCCAGCAAGCGTTCCAATGCCGGTTCCGAAGAAACGCTCTGATTTACCGCCGCCTGCACTATTATCATACCGCTCGGTGTCGGGTGTCGTACCGTGCAACAATGCGT